CTCTGGAAAACGGATCTGGCATATGGTATTTTGATGTATATTTTCTTATTATATATATGTTGTACATGGATGCAGTAAACACTACGTTTATATTATTGAGGGCATTATGTCAATTTAGGAGATAAATAAAAACAAAAAGCACAAGTGTTGGGCCGTAGGCATGGAAGAAATCTGTTAATAAAAAAAAGAGAGGGAGAGAGAGTTGAGGAAGGAACTCAAAGCCAGGGGAATTCGTGATATCCACTCTTTCCCTATCCACTTATATATTACTCTCACAATTCCAATTTAGGGTTTGTGAAGAAAAGATGAGAGTGTAGTAAGTTTCTTGGATTGAAAGATGAGTAATTTGGCAATAAGGTGCAGAGGGATTTATGTTTTTCTAAAACTTAATATGAAGAGTGGTGGCGTGTGTGGGGGTGTGTGTAGATGTACTAGGGTTAAATATTAAGTTGGATGACCTTTTTTGTCCTTTTACACAATAATAAAACTTAAGAGCTTAATGATTTAAGTATTGGGATAAACAAAGAAAAGTGTGTTTAAATAGAAAAACTCAATTACTCAACCAAAATCCTGGTCTAAGGGATCAATGCTATATATACTACATTTTCTGACTAAATGTAATATACAAGTGTGTTATGTTTTGTTTACTAGAGATGTGATCAACAATATAATTTGTAGATATGATCAAAAACTCTGGATGCCATGAAGAATGAGGGCAAGCATGTGGGATGTATCCTTCATCAAAACTCTGCTTTATCATTTTATTGAAGACTGCTTATTATTACAAACATAACTTAATCGTTGAAAATTGGTGTACAGAGGAAGATAGCATCAATTAACTTCTGAGGTTACAATATTAATTTCTATATATCCTTCTAAACTTCAGTTTAGTTCAGTTCAATCTGAACTACAAAAAAACAAACAACCATAGACCCCTTGATAATTAATACTCTTCATCCAGCAGTTGATCATCATATTTGGTTCAGCTCATTTCATATCCTGCAGGAACCATCAACAATATTCATTATTATTATTATTATTATTATATAGACATAAAACAGATTATTTATAGAAAACTTATAAGAGAGTAAGAGAGAGATATAGATAAGTACTGGATATATTCAACATTGATTTTTGTTGAAGGAGAACGTGAGATGGCTGCAAAAGCATCAGTTGACATGGCTATGGTAGAAGGGCAAGGTGATCTTCGGCAAAGATCGACCACCTTCACGTCCACAGTAGCACCACCCTTGCAAGGCTTTTTATGGCCACTCAGGCACCTCAGTCTATACCGCCTTCCGCAGGCGGCACCATTGTCCCATAACCCTTCACTCACCGCCACAAACAGGTTCCCCGGAGGGAACTGGTCTTGCTGGTTTCCGAAGCACCCTGTAGCTGCACAAAAATTACACTTCATCATGTATGTGGCACAAAGAAGAGAAGACAAGAGGCTGACACGCTAGTATATGTTGTCGAACTGTGAATTTTAGGGAATCAAAATGTTATTTAAATGTATCACGTACGGTCAGCATAACATTTCAGATATTTGGTAAGAGATTATAGTTGTGTTTACATACGTACTGGAAGGAAAAAAAAAACTTATGTTTCTCAAGTTCCATAACTTATTTTATGTACTCACGTATATAAGGAGGACGATAAGAAGTTGCCGTGCCGATATCACCCAAAACTAGCTTTGCTTCTCTGCACAATAAGCTTAACACTATGGACAAGACTAGGAGCCTCATGATCACAGTAAGTGAAAGCACAATCTAAGTTTGTGCTTATTGTAAGAAGTTCTATATATGTGTACGCATTTGTTTTGGAGCAATGGGGGCATGGCTATATATATAGTAGCAATGAGGCTCCTCTCTCTCTCTCTCTCTCTCTCTCTCTCTCTCTCTCTCTCTCTCTCTCTCTCTCTAGATTCTTTTTTGGCCTCCATAACTACTTTTGAAACAATTGTTCTACAAAAGAATAAGAATCATGTGGTGGCTGATTGGAAATTCAAGTCAAAGTTCCTTCTAGATCAGCCTTTAAAATTGTCATGGGGTTCTTGCAAGAGAAGGGGGGATATCTTAGAAATGATAAGAAGTGGAAGTCGCATCACTCAAAGGTTTTTTTTATTTTTTATACACATAAAGTAATGAGAATGCAACTTTTCGAACAAACGTGTAAGAAGCGCACTTTAGAAATTTAAATTTCTCGTTGTACCAAATTGCCAACCAATTGTGTTAAAGTTTGCCTCCAAATGATCTGCTACCAAGTATTATTGAGAGGGTCAGTTGTTCACATGAACTGTGGGGTTTTAAGCTGGATTTTATCATGTGCTACCTATAAAAAAAGTTGACAAAAAGAAAAAGGATGAGGGGAAGCAAAAAGGCTAGAGAGCTGGATAAAGCAAAGCTGGTAGTACGTAATTAACCAATCGATTATGCCATGAGGCTCTCCTTAATTGGTGGAATGTGTTAATCTGAAATGTACCACTCAGTATAATTAGTCCTGTGTGTAAACGCAAATTGGAGAGATAAGTTTAAATCTTTTGAAAACAAGAGGTTTGGTTTTGGGTAATCTTAAAAAATTGTAGCCAACTTCAATTAGTTCCAGTGGAATGAGCCATGAAACTTGAAAGTCTTGCTATATCTGCAAAGGCTTGTTATGGTTCCAATTTTATCAGATGTCCCAAAAGGTACAAAACGTGCGTGGTTAATTTTAAAATGGTGCTTTGTTGCGTGGAGTTGGAATTACACACGGCCTAACTCAGTCAAAAGTGTTTCTATGTTTCTGGGTCGTAAAAGCGTTTTTCAGAGAAGCATATTCCTATAAAACCTTAAAATTCAACATGCATTTATGAGTAGAAGTTCTTCTTAAAGAAGCAATCACATACGAGCCTAATTGAGATTATTTTGGGTTTAACCTATACATAGAAGAGTCCAATCCAAAGGAAATGTTTGGGCCTCGGGTTGGCTAAGCACTGTATCTGGATCTGAACATGATCCAATTGTAAAGAGGAACCCAGTAAGAATAGCTTACAAGAGAACAAGCCCGTCAAGTTAGCCTGTGAGCTACTCAGCCCTGTCAAGTTTTGGATCAAATGAGAAATTTTTTGCTGCTTGCAATTTCTCTGACCAGTTTGCATGCCTCCATCTATATTTTTATCAAACAGTTTATTCACATAAAAATAAAATTGAAGTTTCAGTGCACAAAACAAGGGAACACAAAACGATATGTTTGAACTTTGAAGTAGTGGTGAAACAAAGTGGACAATTTGGTGCCTTGTGATAAATCTCATGCTACCATTTGACAAGTTGTAGTTGTTGTGACAGGCCGGCTACATAAAACTAGAATGAATTCTATAAGAATATGCTAACTCAAATCTGTACGCACAAGATACAAACTTTTAAAAGGTTTCCAGAACCAATCACATCTCTAACTGTATCCAGCAATCAAAAAAGAAAGGGAACTCTAGATGGATCCTTATAGGGAGAGTTAGGGTTTTTATTATTTCAAGCTTAAAAACTCAATGCAGCTAAAACTATATGCAAGAGGCAATAATGTCAAAAGACAAATGAAGTAGGTGAAAGTCTTCCCTCTAAATTCCAATGTTGTATACAATAGTAATCTCACAATGATTGATCATGTGACCAATATGTGTTTTGCTCGATGTGAGAGACCCGTTGTATAGCAATTGATTATGTCACCAACATGTGTTTTGTTACATAATTACAAGAATCAGCATCATATTGACAACCGATAGAGGAAATATCATCAAATGAAAATATAAACCAAGCTTCATTATCACTAGCTTTTTGGGGGAAAAACAATACCTACGTACCTTGTTTGTTTCCACTAGGCACTAGCTTTGGATTCTTCAGCAAAATGGTCATGACATTTGGCTTATTTGGCATCAAATAGAAATTAGCAATTTTTAGAATAGTAATACTACTTTTACGGTATTGGTTGAAGCATCCCAATCTCACAACAGTAATTTCAAATACTTAAAAGGAAAAATAAGAAGTATTTATAAAAAATTTAAAAAAAAAAGAAAAAAGAAAAAGGATTTCCATTGTAACACAAACCTAACATTCAGCCTATGCTCTAACATGAAGTAAACACTTACAATTTTTACAGAAGTAATAGGCTGAGTGTATGAAACGACTTATGCTGAGCCCAAGATTTCTCTGTTAAAGCCATCAGATCTGTCCCAAACTAAATATAGGAAATATTATTTAGCCAAGCTAAATATAGGAGATACTATTTTTTTTATAACTATTTAGCCAAACAAATATATAGGAGATATTTTCGAATCTTTGCTAGAACTAAAATGGGATTGACTGACTTAACACGCAAAATAGTAAAATGGGAATGTCTAGCAAAAAAAATTTAGTCCAAGCGATTGAGTGAGGGATGTTTACACAAATATTCATTGGGTGTCTGGGGTTTCGAAACCTCTGTCCACATGAGTGGAGGTGGAAGAACTCAACCAACTGAGCTATACCACATTGGCTACATTTTTTTTTATAGTATAAGCGATAGTCTAAACTACATGAGTATGATGTTTGTCACACAAACATTACTACGATGCCATGGGTGTTCAAACTTGAGACTATTAGTCTACAAATCAAAGTCTTTTTTCCACTCGGCTAAACCCCATTGATAATTTATAATGAAATTCACTATTTTCATAATGATAAGATTTTAATCTATCTTCTTTTTATTTTACAATTTTATCATATCTTCCAACATATATATCATATCTTTATATTGTGAATGGACCATGGTAAAGTGAAAAGTAAAAGCAGATATTAAAGAATGAAAAAAAAGAAAAAGGTTAGGTTTAGATTTGTAACATTTTCTGTACTATACATTTTTTTTAAATGAAGATTTTCTGTATTATACTTTGTTTGGCTAGATTTCATTTATTAAAAATAAAAAAAAAAGCAAAAAAGAACAAAATAAAGAGTCAAATCCTCGAGCGACCAAAACGCGACCTTTGCTTAGAAAGGCAGGGTGGGTTCAGTGGCACCAGTGGCTTTATACTTGCGTTACTAACCTGGACTCAAAACCTAACTCTATTCCCTTCCCTCCCCTTCACCCACCTCAAGAGACACCAAACCAACGCCAAACTAAGCAATGCCTATTTAAACTTACGCAGAGAGAGAGAGAGAGAGCGCGGCTGAGTGTGTTTGCGAGAAAACAGAGAGAGAGATTCACCTACCTCTCCTCTCTCTCTTGTTAGGTTTTCCCTTTTGGGATTTTCAGATTTTCATTTCCTTTCTCGCAGCCCTTTCTCTTTCGTTTTCATCGCCTCCTTTTCTAATCAGAACAAAACCCAAATTTGGTAGCCACCCAATTTTTTCGATTTTTAATAAATAATTTTTTATAAATAATTTTTTATAGTCTCCGCTCTTTGTTCCTTCCCCATACCCATCTATTAAAAATGGATTCTTTGAAGACCCATTTGCCCAAAATCGAACCTTTGCCTCTCATGCACTGTGAATCCGCTTGAAAACGTGAAAAGAAATGGACTTGGCTGTCCACTAAACCCTAGAAGAAAGCGTATTCATTAGGTTCTGATCAATGGGTAGGAAGCAAATTCAACTTTTCGATGATAAGAGTGATGGGTTTTTCTCTGTTTGCAATTTGGGATTTCAATGGAGCCCCCAAGAGGGGGCTTATCATCCTGGAGGCTTATTTGCTAGCGTTAGCCAAGTGGGAATGGGGTTTGGTGTCTCAGCAGACCCTCCGAATCCACGCGGGAATGGCGGGGTGAAGCTTCCATATGCCGACCTGTACATGAAGTATGTGGAGGGCATTAAGAATTTTGGGCTTCAGGAAGAGAAGGGAGAGGTGAAGAAGAAGAAAGGTGGTCTTAAATTGAAAGTTAAGATTGCAAACCCTTCACTTAGGAGGTTGATAAGTGGTGCAATAGCTGGGGCGGTGTCACGGACAGCTGTGGCGCCATTAGAGACCATAAGGACGCATTTGATGGTTGGGAGTAGTGGGAATTCTACTACTGAGGTGTTCAACAATATAATGAAGACTGATGGGTGGAAGGGACTGTTTAGGGGAAATCTTGTCAATGTTATTCGGGTTGCACCGAGCAAGGCAATAGAGGTAGGAATATTTCTTTTGTATCAACTTGTTTTAGGTGAATATTATGTTGCATTTAGACATGTTTTCAACTTGTTTCATTTTCCTTATTTTCACTGTTTGTCAAATTGGTGATGTTAGTATGGTTAATACTTTGACTTGTTCTAGTTTTTGGCGTAATTGATGTATTAGTGACAAGCTTATTTGATTTAGACATCAGTTATGTTGATTGTTAGCATTGCTTATAATTTATAAAGTAGTAATCCCTTTTTGTTTATTATCTGCAACTATGAACTACGTTTGCTTGATGTCATGCCCTTTGTCTCTCTGCTCATACCAGTTGGCCCAATAAATGGTCTTTGGATCCAATTTGTTTTCCCCATTGGGTTATAGTATGTAATTATTTCCTGTGATGTGATGTGGCTTTTAGTTGCACATAGTTTAGGTGAGCTGATGCTTTTCATTCTAGACAATTTACTCTTGCAGTGGGATTGTCAAATGATCAGTGAGATACTTTAAGGTGTCATAGTCAACGAAAAATATGCCTGATCATTTATCATGTCATCATACACCTTTGCTTAATCATTGAAATCATTATAAATTCTTGACTCTCCGATCCAGTAAACTGGACAATTTGTGGCATCACTCATTACTCAGAACATGAAGGATGAACCTTGAGTAGATTGGAGAAATTGAGTTGGTTTCATGGTGCTCTTCCTTAGTTATAGCATAGGAAATGTTGCTGCAAATTTCTGATATGATGTGAAATCTTTTCTTCCTGTTATGGACTTTAGTTATATCATCTGTCATCATTGAGGAGACACAATATAATGCTTGAGGAGATGGCCTTTCTAGCTTCTGTTCAAATTCCAGAAAAAATGAAGCTTGCTTCATGCAGTACAATGACTTATTTATGATGTACCATCCTAAGTAGGTTTCAATTACCCCCAGTCTGTTTTTTCCGGGATCAAGAATTAATTTGCCTACAGTATACAGAAACAAAGAATTGAGTGTATTATAGCTGTTGTGTTAGGTGTGTACTTGTTATGTAAATTCAAATTTGGGAAGCTAAACAATTGGAACTTTATATACATGATTTCCGTTACAAGATTGTAAGGATTTCAATTCTGATCTTTTAATTGGTTTGGTATTTAAACTTCTGCTACATTTTTGGCAGCTGTTTGCTTATGATACGGTTAACAAGCGCTTGTCACCGAAACCTGGAGAGCAGCCCAAACTTCCAATTCCTGCCTCGTTAATTGCAGGTGCCTGTGCTGGAGTAAGCTCGACAATTTGCACGTACCCCCTGGAGTTACTGAAGACCCGGTTAACCATTCAGGTATTTTAAGGATTAGCAGTAGTGTGTTCCTTTCTTTAGTATGTATTTAGTAATCACACAGTAGCGTTGTTAAATCTGCAGAGGGGCGTTTATGATGGCCTTCTTGATGCATTCTTAAAAATAGTGCGAGAAGAGGGACCTGGAGAACTCTACAGAGGTCTTGCCCCTAGTCTTATTGGAGTAATTCCATATGCTGCCACCAATTACTTTGCTTATGACACATTGCGGAAAGCGTATCGCAAGTTTCTCAAGCAGGAGAATATTGGCAACATTGAAACCCTTTTAATTGGATCAGCAGCCGGTGCTATTTCAAGTACTGCAACTTTCCCACTCGAGGTGGCACGCAAACATATGCAGGTGGGAGCCCTGGGTGGAAGGCAGTATATGAATGTGCTTCACGCCCTCGCAAGCATACTTGAACATGAAGGGGTTCAGGGTTTATACAGAGGGCTAGGGCCTAGCTGCATGAAGTTGGTGCCTGCAGCAGGGATTTCTTTCATGTGCTACGAAGCATGCAAGAGGATACTGGTAGAGGACAAAGAGGAAGCGTAGAAGACTCGAATGAGAAATAAATTTAAGTTTTATACTGCATTTTGGTAGTAGCAGAGAGGAAAGAAACGGGATAGCTTTTCTTTTGACACGGGCTTACTTGCCCTTTCTCTTTTTGATTGCTGGATAATTTTTTTGTTCCTTTTCATTTTGTGACTCAGTTGAGGGAGCCTTGTTTTTCTTGAGGTTAGAATTTATGTTCTGGAGGATTAATTTAAATGCCATTGAGTTTTCTTGTCATGGAAGGAATAAGCAGAGATCAATCTCAATATTGTGTGGCTTGATATGTCATATGTGGCTCCAAAGGTATACACTTTGTACACAAGAATCTCTTGTAGGTCACCATTTAGTTTATTGATTTGGAGATTCATTCCTGCTTGCTTACTAGAATGTTTCTTATAGATTCTACCCTTTCGTTTTGTGATAACTCCTCAAGACCTTGTCTTCAGCTTTTGATTATGAAGCCATTTCCAAGAAATAATTGGTTATTAATTGGGTTGTGGACGTACTGATTGTTTGAAGCAATAACAAATCTTTTTTTCTTTCTTTCAAGAATAGGATTAACGCCACAACAAGGAGGGGCAACACTGATACTTTCGTACTTGACCAAAGTTAGTATTTTATCCTCTGCCATTAGGAAAATCCATACAGTTTTTAGGTTTTTTTCCCAGATTCACCGGAGAAGCCCAAGCTCTCTAGCTTATATCACCAAGAACCCTCCGTGGTTTTTCTTGCAAGCTTTTCCTTCTCAATTACTTTCTCCTCCTACTAGTCATTGTGCCTTGTCTTCAACCTCTGCGTGTTTTTTTATTCTGGTTTTTGAATGGCAGATTCAATAACCAGAAAAAGGGAGGTCTGCAAACGCAAAAGGCAATGCGAAAATAGTTTCTCGGCAGAGGAGTCTTATCAAGGAGCAATGTCTGGCACGAAGAGGCACGGAAACAGGAAAGCAGAGGAGCTTGAAAAACTATGCAATGCTAGGTTTGCATTGTATCTTACAATCCAAAAGGTAATTTTTCGGTCTGGCCAAAGGACCCGGCCAAGGCCAGAGAAAGCATCATCAAGTTCAAAAAAATGTAAGAACCCAATTCGTCATCACGCAGTAAACGTAAAGGAAAAAAGAAGGGGTATGAGGAGAAAGAGACTAAAGTTGGATAAGTTTTCAAGGGCTTTGGAGGATAATATTAATTCTTCTTTCGCCCGAAAAACAAAAACTATTCAGCCATACGGTAATACTGCAAAAGAAGATCATGGTGAAGAGAGCATGGCAGAATTGTTACAACCAAATGGTTATAATTTTCATGACGATAATATCGAATTTCGTTATGGATTCGACAGTAATGGTATTTGTGGTAATGTTAATTTGGAGCCTGGTTATAATGGAGATTTTGAATTAGTAGAGCTGGGGAATTTTGGTGGGGTCGATAATTATAATTATATCCCTCCATTAGGGTTTTTTTTCCACAAAGCTTCCATTACAATATTGGTGCTAATTTGATGGGGTTTGGTTGTCCAGAGAACAATAACATCGGTGTTATTAATAGTGTATTTCTTCTGCAAGCTCAAGCTGCTGGGTGGACATGCTGCAAGGAAGAAATTTATCAATGATATCTCCACTTCATGAGGCATTGTTGTGGCCTCAGCCTTTGCCATCTCAGATGATCAATGATCACCACAACATGAATTCACTTTCAAGTCACAATTACAACTATATAAATATTGCCTACCTTGTTTTGAAGAGCTCTCTAGCTAGCACTTAATTACTAGTTTCTAGCTTAATTTTAGTTTATTAATTGTAACACGGACTACTCTTTTTATTAGTTCCATGTTTAGAAGAAATATCCATAATTAATAGTATTTAGAATTAATGACTTGAGAGTAGTTAGGTCTTTGTGTTGCTTGTGTGTAGTAGACTTGTTTCATTAGAAATTAAGATCACTCACAATGGTGAAGAAGGCGGAACCATTTGGATCAGTTTCTCTGTTCTCATGGCTGGGTGAGGTGCAACTTCGGTTTCATCGTTTTCTTACAAATCAAAACCAACTACTTGACTTTGGAGGTCACTTACCAACAACCAGTATAGTAGAATGTAAATAGTGCACACAGAAATGGAGAGCTAAGAGAATTTCAATGCTCCAGCAGAAAGGAGCAAGCAAAACACCAGATTCACATGCATTATAGAGGTCAAGCAGAAGGAATGTCGTGGGTAGAGCATCTCAAAATCTTGCAGCAACTTAACAATGTTACACATGTAAGCTAAAATAATGAATCCGGAAACAAATTTGAATCTTTTGATAGCAGAGATGACTGTATTTTACAACAAATCCTAAAAAGAAATTTTATCACAGCTAAACAAACACCACTAGAGAGGCAAACCTAGGAACAAAAGTCAGACATCCACCAGTTTTGGAAGACCTAACAGTGCGTGCACCAAGCTAGATATCAGAAACAACAAACTTCAACTCTGCTCATACTCAAGGGCTTCCTCTGCAGCAACAGCAGCAGCAGCAGCATCAGCAGCCATTATCTCGTCAAACTTCTCAGACTTTCCGAGCAGTATTTCAATCTAAACAAAGAAGATCACATGATACCATCATCAACCTCCCAGATAAAATTACAGAATGAAAGTAATGTAATTCAATGTAAAGTCAATTAGATCATCATATCATCTGAATTCTGAGAAAATCAAAGTGAAGAGTGATCAACCAACCCTGAAACTCGTAAACTAAACCCACAAAACTATGCTATAAAACAATTGAACAAGCACTTCACATGTTAAAAGACAAGCAGAGCAAATCTTTATGGTCCGACAAAACTAAGCCAACACTTTGTTTTGAAGGCTTATCAATTCAATAATGAAGTTGCTGAAATCTTAGCCCTCAAACATAGAAGCACCCAATTAACTCAAATACCATGTCGCGGAAAGAATGGGAAGACCATCATGCAGAGCTGGTAATTGTATAAATTCAGAAACAAGCAAACTTTGGCACCTCAGTTCCGTAATGAGTGCTTTTTGAACCTCATTCTCTTTTAAATAACCCTAGCTATACGTGCCTATATTCCTTGCTAAAATCTAAAGGAATGTTTGTTGTTAACAAGAAATAATGTTTAAGAACCCCTAATTTTTGTTGCATATTACATAGTCCTTATTCTGCTGCATTAGGTTAACAAAACCACAATGTAGATATCAGAAAATTGCTAGGCTAATACAAAATTCAAAAGGTACCTTTGCCTTTTGAATTGGCCGCCCCCCTGCATCCTCCCTCATGTCAATTGTAGAAGTCGTGATCTCTGTATATGTTGCATACAACAGCAAGTTAAAACTTAATATGAGAAACATTTACCAAAAAGAAGAGAGAGATTGTCTGAAAGGCATAAGAATCCCACTCTTCTCGAAAGCCAATCCATTGTTCTTCAGAATCTCAGCAATGGTAACAACAGTAGCAATAGCTGTAGATATAAAACAAATTGTGAATCCTTAGTAAACAAAATATGAAAAGTTTTCACTTCAATAATACCGAAAATCATCAATGGTTTGACATAGTTGGGTAAAGATTATGTATAAGCCAATGCCTAGACAGCATTGAAATTGTAATTTTTGGGTGCACTTGTGACAGGAGAAACAATAAGCAAACAGAAGACACAAAGCATCTGCAACCCAATAATCACCTAATGGAACCAAAAACAAAAGGAGGGTAAGATAAACGAAACAATACCCATTCCAAGGGCAGAGAGCTCCACCTCATTGTTCTGCTCCATGTACCTCTGCAAAGGTAAATTGCAAACCATTGAATGACTGAAAACATACACAGTATCTGCAAATACGCATAACACAAATATTTGGCTTAAATCTTAAACTCAGTAGATCCATATTCATTCAAGAGAAAACCAACAACAATCTGTAGCTTTGGAATTTGGCAAGAATGGGTCTTCTCGACCGTTTTCAACAATCAAACAGAGAGCAAAAGGAAAATCCCAAAAACAATAGCGAAACAGATGAAGATGGAGAACATGGGGGTTGGTTTACCTTGGCAAGATTGACATAGAAGAAGAGGGGCTTCTTGGTATTTGAGACTTGGATGCGATTCTTCTTGTTGTTATATGATGAGTCCGTGATTTGCAAGTTGTTCACTCCCTCTGTGACACCCTCCATTGTTGCTTCTGCTTCTTTCTTCTTCTTGTTGTTTTGCTCTGCAGAGAGAAAAGAAAAACCCTAATCTCCTCACAGTCCCTCCGAAATTTACCTGAAATTTATAAATGCTCAAAAACCCTCCAAGGGTTTTAATCAAACAAACGCTCCAGTCTACTGGCTTCTACAGGTCGATACGCTGTCGTTTCGGGATTGGTTTTCAGAATTTGCCTCATTGACAAGTAATGCATTGCAGTACAACTCATCTTGTTGGAAATGACATAATTACCCCATTCAATTTGTATGCTGTATGCTGTAGACCTTATTGGTAGATTGCAAGTTCTAGAGTTTTTATTTATTTATTTATTTTATTTATATATTAAAGTTTTAGGCTCTTCTAAATAAATGTTGTTAATGATCATTTAGTCTAGTGGCTCCAGTCTCAATTTTGTTGGAGGAAGTCGTGAGTTCAAATTTCATAACTAGTCGATGAGAAGAAAAACGCAAGTGTCTCGTCAAAATGCAATACAGTCGACTTGATCGACTAAGAGGCCCGTGACACAGAAAATGCAATTTTGTGTACAATTCTTTTACATATATCCTCGAACAACAGTTGGTTTGAGTACTTTTCAACTCCATGCTTAAGTTTTGATGCTCACATGCATCCCAGAGGGCATGAATTTCGAAATTCATTCATGTCAATATTTTACAGTAGAAATTGGCTCTATAGAACTATAAATGCAAGATCATAGAAATTGTGTTAAATAAACAAAAATAAAAATATAATTCCTATAGGCTTGTCTGATGAAAGAATTTGTATTCAATAATTGTAGTTCCATGATGATAGGCAATAAATAAGCTTACATCGACCGAAACAAAGTTTGTCCTAACAGATACAGACCAAGTAGTGCAATAAATAGCTTCTATATATCCCTCTTGACAACAACCATAACAATGCTACACAACAATGACTAAGATCAAAGTTCAAGAAACATATTTCAGCAGGTAACAACAAACACTTTGTCAAAGGGGCAACAAAAAACATACACAAGGGTTCTCTCAGTTTTCTTCCACCAGACTCCCTTTTCGGACGCGGTGACCGTACATAGAAGTTCAGTAGACGACT